AGGCCATACAACGGCAGCCCTCTTCGTCCACAGTGAAGGCCATACAACGGCCAGAACGAAAAACGTCCATAATGGCCAAAAAGAAAGAACCGGAGCAAAGGATGCCCATAACGGCCAAAACAGCGGAAAACCCATAGCGGTCCCACAACGACCAGAAAACGTCAAAACCATGGAATCTACTCTCTCGCACTTCGTCAACATCTCAGCTCAGAGAGTGGGGGACTCCTGATGGAGTATATGGGCCTGGATCCCAGGACCCACATACTCAGAAGAATGAGAGGCACAACTGTCACCCAGTGGGGCCTCTGTCGGCCAGATGGCCCCCCATCGGCCAGAAAGATATCAACTCAGAATATGGTCCGGAAGCCAGGAGAACCGGGTGCCCCGTTGGTCGGGGCTCCGTCGGCCATGGCCGCGTCAGTCATGGCCGCGTCGGCCATGGCCACTTCGGCCACAGAAGGCTCCCAGAACCGGATTTCGCACTTAGTTATTTCTACATATCTTGTACTCAGCCCAACAGTGGCCCAATTGTAAATGGGCCTCCCAAGCCCAAGACTTGGGAGCCCAACCCTAATTTCCTCTATAAATACTTCCCTTGGGGGTAGTTATAGGGGGTTCACAAATCATTAATATCAACATTTATAGCACTTCTCTCTCTAACTCTCACTTCTCTCTAAGAGTTAATACTCTATGAGTAACTAAAAGAAAAGAAAGATAAGAAATATATAAACATAAGTTATGATAAAAAAGGATAACATAAAAAGAGATGGATATACATAAAAATGATAGAATAAAAAGGATAAAAGAATACATATATAGGGGGTGGTTCCAGTGAGAAAGCACTCGCAGGAGAGAAATGAGAATGAATCAGGACCGTTGGATTGTATTATGTAAAATTGAATTGTGTAGTTGGTATAACTGAAATGTATATTAAGTGAAATTGAAATGTGCAGAATGAAATGTATAACTCAAATCTGCATTACGTGAAATTTAAATGTTTAGAATAAAAAGCACAAAAATGTCACCGCATCGTAGTTTTTATTTTGCACATTTCAGTTTCACCTAGTGCACATTTAAGTTTCCGTAATGCATAATTAATCTTCACATAATATCATCATGTCTTATCTTCTGTGTTGCACATTTCGATTTCACCTGATGCACATTTCAGTTTCACTTAATGCACATTCAATTTCATAGAATACAATCTAACAGTTCAGATTCATTATCATTTCTTTCCTAAGATCATTTTCTCACTTGAACCTAATTGAGGTTAGTGCAGAGGAGAGAGAAATGTGCAGAACCACCAATTAGTTGCTTTAATAGGAAAGTAGCAAAATTTTTTGGATCAGCTAAAACTGGAAAGTTGGCAAAGTCCAATAGGACAGAGGGAGTATATATTTAAAGATAAAAGAATTAAAAAAACAAGAAAGAAAAAGAAGATGAGAGGGAACGATGATAAGAGATCACTCCTGCACACGAATACCCATCCTTCACTTTGATCTCTTCAGAGCCTTATGTTCATCCAACCCAAGAAGAAGTATATCATTGCTGACTCCTCTAACCCAATTCTGTTTGGGTCTTTCTCTCCTTTTCTTCCCTGTCTCTTCTCCACACATCTCAACTCGACTGACATGTGCATCACTCGGTCTTCTACGCACATGACCAAACCACCGCAAATGAGACTCTTGCATCTTATCTTCAATAGGTGTTACTCTCGCCTTTGTCTGATTGTCTCATTCCTCATGCAGTCCTTTCTAGTATGTCCACACATCCAACACATCATGCACATCACCGAAAAAAATCCACTTTGTTTTATAGATGTGCTACCGCATGTGAACTTCTAGAGTATATGAGTTAAGGTACACGGCTCACATACTCATAGATACATAAGCAGCCCGGAACCATCTGGACTACCCACTTCGATTGTGCCCCTCAGCTAGACGAGGCCCAACAACAATAGAAGCAACCACAAAGAATGATTCGGCCTAAACACGCTGGGCATATCAGTCTGTATAGACCTCTCGGCTTGGACACCTCATCTTGGATCGACACCGTGAGAAGCTTGCTCAAGGGAATGGAACATAAGGATGAGGTTGTAATACTTGAGATTTAATTTAAACGGATCAGTAGTACTACTCATACCAACAAGGTGCATCTCCTTTTAAGGGATCTCATTAGCCAAGAACTCCAAAGTTAAGCGTGCTTGCACGGGAGTAGTCTTGGGATGGGTGACCCCTGTGAAGTTTCTCAGGGCGCGCACGAGTGATAATAAAGTGCACAGAAAAGGGTAGTGGCGATTTGTGAGGACAGTACTAGAGGTCAGAAGTAACTACCTTGGGGCATATGGGGTCAGGGTGTTACAGAGGTTCCCAAGCACCTCGTCCTACAGGGAACAACTACTCAACATATAGTCGATGAGTGAAACACGTCGCTCTGTGCCACACAACATGACTCTCGCCAATTGATTAATTTATTAATGTACATGCATTTAATGCATCTAGCATTGATTATTAGTATGAATATCCTTCTTGTCCCTTGGGGTAGATGTAACGGTTCCCAACACATTTATTATCAGATATTTCTCTCTCTCTAACCCTCTGGTCTTCCTTCTCTCTGTAATTAATATCACTACCGGTGAGCTTATCTTGCACATTTCAAAAGAGCAGGAAATTCAAAATTCTCAAATTCATTGTCATTTTTCTTCATCATGTTCTCATTTGACTCGAGTTATATATTTATATGCACTAACATATAACTCATATATCTATTTATTTTAAATAAATTGATCAAAATAGGAGTACTAAAAATAAGTTTATTTTCTTAAATATTAGCACTAAACTTTTTTCTTAAACAAAAGTAATTACTATCATCCCAAAAGATAATATCACATAAATGTTTGATAATCAAAAATATAGGAATTCATATTTAATATTTACTCTTATTTGCAGACAAAAATATTGATTTAAACCACCTATTTTTAGTGTAACTTTCTCTATTTCTTCCGTCGCTTAAAATTTAGTCAAGTTTAACTAGTAGATAGAATAATAAAACTAAAACTGTAATTTAAGGTTTGTATAAAATAGAAAGAGATAATCAAAATCATAAATTAGAATGGAAAGTGGTAATGCTTTTAAGATAATTAAAAAGAAAGATAACAAAAATTTCAAGAACTAAGGAATACGGACTACTTAGCCCCTCTACTCCTTAAAATTTTGCCAAGTTTAACTGGCATGGAGAATGATAAAGTAAAAAAAAATTGATTGACGTTTTTAAAAATGAGAGAGAAATAATTGAAACAAAAAAATTGATTAAAATAAAAAATGATATAGTTTTTTAGAAAATTATACTCCCTCCATTCTTTATTATCTATCCTCTTAGGCTTTGGCACGGGTTTTAAGAGAAAATTAATAGGGGTAGTGTAAAAGGTGTAGTGGGTTGTGCGTAAATGAAAAAGTAAGAAAAAGAAAGGAGTAATGATAATAAAAGTGTGAATATAAAGATATTTTGATTGAAAAAACTTACCCAAAAAAGAAAGAGAGACAAATAGTTAAAATTTTCCCAAAAAGAAATACCAGACCGTTAATAAAGAAGGAAGGGAGTAGGGTTTTTTTCGAACCTGGGTAGAACACAAGAAAGGCATGCATGTGAACCTCTACACTACATCATTCACTTGTTAAAAAATGTCTTTTAAGAAGTATAAATCATGTATCCTTCACCCCGGGAGTGCACTATTTCTTAATCGCATGTATTATTTGTTCCTTTAGAAATACGAAGTATATTTCTTCCTTTCCCAAACAATTAAAAATATAACAATAAAAAACTTATAAAATAAAATAAAATATAAGTAAAATAAAAACTTAAATTAATTTTTTGTATTCTAAGTTAAATACTCTGTATTTCTTTATTTTTCAAATTAAATTAGCAAATTATGTTTTTATTATAAGTTTTAATAAGATTTTTAATTGATTAACTCAAATTCAGTTTTTATTATTACATTTTTTATTGTTTGGTAAAGAGAGATATTTCTAAAGGAACGAATAATACATGCGATTAAGAAATAGTGCACTCCCGGGGTGAAGGATACATGATTTATACTTCTTAAAAGGCATTTGTTAACAAGTGAATGGTGTAGTGTAGTGGTTCACATACATGCCTGTCTTGTGTTCCACCCAGGTTTGATTCTTGTTGGCTTCATTTTTTTTCTATATTATAGAAGCACACATAAACTCTCAAAATTGATGACATGGGATGATGTGGATAAGCTGATGTGGCGCCCAGCAGTGATAATGAGGTGACATGGCAAAAAATACCCCTATTTGGAAAATAAGTTTAAAAGTACCTTAATTTGAGAAATAAGTTTGAAAAACACCCCTCCATGACAAAAAACTCTAAGGGAGTATACCACATAGATTCACACCATCATTGGAGAAGATCACGGGGGTCTCCCGTCTCCACACTCCACTAATTTGAACGTAGCCCATTATTTCTCTTTTGACAAAAAGTATGCGTCATGTGTATTTGAGGTCAGGAATTGCAGATGAATTAGTGGACGTGCAAAATGATGGAGGAAGTCCCTATCACAACAATGACACCGGCCCGAGGAGACCTTATGCGGTGTGCCTGTGGGAAAATGATACTTGATCGTCTCTTTTTTGTTACAACAATCAACATTTCATGTTTGTCAATGCATAATTTTGATCATCATTATATTTAATGCTGTATTAGTAAAAATAAAATAAAAATTAAATTATAAAACCTAGTAATGAGATGAATTTAACAACATTTTTCAAAAAATAATAATTCACATACATTAATAAATATGGAGTAAAATGTAATCAAAGTAAAAAACATGAATAGTGTATATATTCAAATTTTGCAATTAATGAGATACGAATGATAGTATATCGTCCACCAATTTTGCTATAGGTAACTCAAATTTATCCCGTTTTTCTACCCCATATAAAAACCTTCTCCCCTCCCCCACTTTTCTTCTCTTTCCCTCCCTCTCTCCTCCCTCTTTTCTAAAAAATGCAGCCCCCCTCCCCCATCCTCTCCCCTTTCTATCTCTTTTCTCCAAATCTTGATTTCTTCTCCATTTCAACATCTCTCTCCATCAAGTCTTCCCATGTTTACAATCTCCCCCCCCTCCCAAGCTTCTTCTCCTGCTTCATGCCTCTTCTGCCTTTTTTTCGTTTCAAATGCAAGAGCTACAGTAGATCGGACGAAGGGGAGAGTTGGGTGACGTTGGATAGCTTGACACGGGGAGACAACGACGAAAGTGCAGACCAAGAAGCTTTGAATGACTTGAGAAGATCTACTTTTCTTGATTTTTTTCTTGATTTTATGGTGTGTTATCGAAAAAAGGGTTGTCTGTCTGACAGACAACTGTAAGTGCAGTGTCTGTATTTGTTAGTAAGACTCGTGAAGTTGTCTGTCATTTGATCGTTAGTTGTCTGTATTTGTTTTGAGTTGTTTGTATTTGTTTCGAGTTGTCTGTCATGTTGTTGTGAGAAGTCTGTAAGAGTCGTGAAGTTGTCTGTCTGTCTGTAATTGATGGTTAATTACCTGTATTTGTTTTGAGTTGTCTGTATTTGTTTTGAGTTGTCTGTATTTGATTGTGAGTTGTCTGTATTATGTGATGTTTATTTTTTGAGATGTAATTAGTATAACGAGACAGACATTAAATATTCACATACAGGACATTACTTTATTGTGAATTACCATTTTGGAATATGTTTCATAAAGAAGAGAGACAATATGTATAACTAGACAGACAATATAGATAACGAGACAGACATTATTTTCACCACAAATTACATACAATTCACAATGAAATGACAAACAACTAAGTATGAGTTACAGACAACTTCACAACTCAAAACAATTACAGACAACTAACAAACAAATGACAAACAATTAAATATCAATTACAGACATTTATTTTTCAAATGATAGACAATTTCATGACTCTTACAGACACTGCACTTACAAGTTGTCTGTGTGACAGACAACCCTTTATATTTCGAAAATACATCAAAAATGAAGAAAACAGAATCAAGAAAAGAAGATTTGCCGCTCAAGTTATTCAAAGCTTCTTGGTTTGTCTTCGTCGTTGTCTTCCCTTGAGGTTGCATCCGAAATAACAACCAATGTAGGCTCCCGTCGACAACCGGCGTAGACCCGCCGTCGGCAACGTCACCGGTGGAAGTGGAGATAAGCAGGAGAAGATTTAAGGTTGGAAGGTGAAAAAATGGAAAAAATGGGAAAGATTTTGAGATGGAGAAGAAAGGGGAAGAGAGGGGGTGCATGAAAAGAGGAGAGGGGGAGGGGGAAGGGGAGGAAGAGAGGTGGGGTGCAGGAGAGAGGAAGGTGGAGAAGAAAAGTGGGGGTGGGATTTTATATGGAGTACAAATGGGGTAGGGTTTGGGATACATATAGCAAAATTGATCGTCCACATAATATCCACTTCACGAGAGCTTTAATTGTTTTGAAACTTTTATTTCAAACTTCAAATAAAGATGACACATTTTATCTAGTGTTCTAAATGATGTAGGAAGTTCCTATCAGTCTATCACCATGACACCGACCTGAGGAGACCTTATGTAAATTATATCGTATAACCGGCATACCATGCGCATGGTATGCCTAGTCCAAATACGTTACCGTTTTTTGATAAGAAACGTTATTTAATTTTGCACACTTGTACTTTCCCACCTTTGTTTTTTTGTTCTTCATTTTTTAAGTTTTATTTGTTTCTTTATCAAAAGTTCTCTCCCTCTAAGTCACACATCACTCCCCTATTCTCGTTTCTTTTTTTTCTTTTACGTTTTTTACTTTTTATGTTCTAATTATCGAAAGCTATCATGTTTCCAAATGATTTTCTTAATATGTACTACGTATTATATTTTGTGATCAAATTTTAATCCTTTCAAAAATAAATTAATTATTTTTTCTTTGTGTCTTAGTCCTTATTCATACACTTTTTTTTTCTTTTTTTTCTTCAACTGAAATTACAACCAATTTTTTTTGTATTCTTCAAAATAAATAATTTTTTATAATCATAAACTTTTTGTAATATATTTTTTATATTCATACATTTTTTCCTATAATATATTTTTATATATTTAAAACATTTTTTCCATCAAAATGTTTTGCTTAGCAATAGAAGCTATAAAAACACTTCTGAATTGCCATGCTAGTACTCTGAATCTCAACGCTTGGTTATAGTGCTTCATCAACTTCATAGTTCATAGTTTCATACAATAATAATTGGATTAGAGATATAATGAATTTAAAATAGTTTTTTTTTTCTGTCTAATCAAAATATAAATATCTACCTCTATTACACAATAGGTTTTGGAAGATAAGATGATAATCCCAGAATACTTAACAAACAACAAATATAAGCAGTAATAAAAGAAGCAGATAGAAAGAAATCGACAAGTTTATACCCAAATCTGGTATACCGTATGAAAACCCGCCGCTACTCTCCCTGGAGAAGGAGAGCAGCGGCAAACCTAAACTCTCTCTATCTTTACGCCTCTGAACTCTAAGCCTCTATCGATCGTTAGGGTTCCCGTAAGTTGGCCTCCTTTTATAGGAGAAGTTGGCTAACTTACGGGTTACAAGGAAGCCCACGGGCTGATACACATTTGTGGCCCGTATTACACGATTAATTAATAACTACACAAATACAAAGATAACTAACTAGATGGAACACCATAAAATATTCCCAACAATCTCCCCCTTGGTGATCAATCGTGTTGAATCAGCATTGCAGCGCATATATCTTTGTCTTTGTTGTTATTGAGCTTCCTTTGTCTTTGAACTTGACTTCTGAGGAAGGCTATCTGAAGAAATCCTTGCAATCTCCCCTTTGATGTCTTCTTGACAATTTGATCTTTGATGACGGGGGTTGAGGGACCTTCAGTATCTTGCATGTAGTCCTTGCCTTCCAGAAGTTGCTCTTGATCAGCTTAGATGAAGTCCGGTGACGCCTCTAGAATGAATGTTCTTTGGAGAATAGGAGACGCCCATGGAATTCATCTTCAGGACAGGAGTATTTGACCTCTGTCTCCTCTACAATGTAGTCTTTTTGACTATTTGGAATGAATGCATTTGAGGAGAACTTGTCGGTGGCACAGCGGAACATAATGATCGTTGATTTGTGAGTGTAGCTGACCATTTGATTTGAGTTGCGGAGATAGTAGAGAGGGTGTTGAATTTTGTGATGGAGGAGTGAAGTGTCCCAGAATGATTTGTTCAGTGTTAACAGCATGTGGACCACTCTCCCCCTCATGACGATCCGATGAATCGGGACGTCATGCTTTTATTCTTTTATTCTGCGGAAATAAAAACATGAAAAACAAGCAGAATCTAAAAAAGATAACGTAGCCCCCCGGGGTCGTGAAGACGCCCGTTATCATCACTATAGAGATAAACTCTAAAGCAATGGCCTGAAAATGTTGGTGATTCTTATGTTGCAACAGCAGGACTTCCTTCCAATTATTGGTCTACATCTGTAATAGATGAGCCCTATGGAAGTTCTCGCAAGTCTTGAAGACTAGCAACTGACTCTAAAATGTGTCTGTGTCCTAGAAAATTTCAAAACATTTGGGAAGTGAGTAACTAGACACGACGTGATCAATGAAAATTCAGTGGCATGGGGCTGAGGCCACTGTAGTCAGTATTACTTGCCTCGGAAGGAGACAGTAATGAGAGATGCGGTTCCCCGTGAACTATGATTAAACACCTGTCTGTTGGGAGACAAGTGAGTGGTCTAGGGTAGGGTTGTGCATGCGCCGTTTGGACAAAATGCAGCGACTTCTACCCGGGATCTGAATAAATTTAGTCCTGAACCTATGGGGATAGTCCAGAGTATTTTAGTGGCTAGGAGCAAATGTTCAATTCATAGCAGGCAATTGAGGTAGCAGACTCATCATTGATAATTGTTTTTCTTCTCACTTGAGCCTTCTGCTTCCTAATGCTCATAATGTTCACTCACTCACTCGCTCACTTACGCACTTACGCTCGGCTTTGTCCCTTGGGTAGGCTTAGTTGGGTTTACTAAGCCATAGGGACATGTTCTCTCATTACTTTCTTCATTTTCTCTATGTGCTCCCCCTCAACTGGAGCACCCGGTATGCTTTGTCATTGTTAGGCACCGGGGAGGATAACATTGAACACTCCCCCTAGAATGTTGCATCCGTTGAGAGATTCCTTGCTTTGTCGGTGTAAGGCGCCAGGAGGAGAAAACTGAAACTCCCCCTCAGAATGTGCAAGGATTGATTGCTCACAGCTTGTCATACTCGCCATGTGTGTGGAGCAATCTAAACATGTACCACACATGACGGTTTCCCTGAGCTCACCATGTAGAATTTCAGCATATTGATGAACACATAATGTTGATGAGTCAGGGGAGGCTTCAGCGGTTGATTGTTGATTGTTGTAAGATGACCGTTGACGCGAGGTTGATTGAATTATCTACGATTTTCAGACCTTTACATTGAAGTTTAGAAAAGTTTTGACCTCAGGGTTGACAATGAAAGAATTTGAACAGATTTGCCTAAGTTTTGGCCCGGACATCGGTGATTTACAATGTTTGTCGGAAAACTAACATTTTGGCCCTCAAAGACTGCGAGTGAGGGCGCGTGAGATTGGGTTCTGGGGCGTAGCCCAAGAATTAATGTAGATTTTTGCGTTAGCTTTCCAACAAAAAAAAAGTTTGCTCAAATCGGATCACCGAGTCAAAAGTTATGGCCAAAACAGTGCGGTGTCGCAGAAAATCTCCAATTTTGAGTTTTTGAGGAAAATCTTCGAGGTTGAGGTTCTCGATGTTGAATTTCGAGAGCAGGTGAATTTAAACAAAATTCTAAGGCAAAAACTCGAAATCCAAATCAGGAGATTTTAATTTCCAGTGTGCCTTGAAGAGTAATGACGAAATCCTCCTGCAAAACAGACCTCAGAATGACGAAATCTTCAGAATTTCAAAATGTTTGGAACCTCGAAAACTTTGGAGTTTCGAAAAATCTCATAATCTCGAAAACTTGTTGTTTGAAAAACATCAGAACATCGAAAACTCCTGAAACATTTATATAAGCAGGGAATCATTCAGAGATCCTTATAATGTAAAGCTTCGATGAACTGCAAAGGATGTCAAGATTCGAATTATGAGTTCCAAGAAACTGCAAACTTTGAAAGATTCAAAACATCGAGAAATTCCGAAAATTCTGAAATTTTTTAGAATGTCGAAATCCAAAACATCGAGTTCCTAAAACTCGAAATAAATTCCAAAACTCGCAATTCCAAAACTCTCAAATTTTAAAAACTCGAGGTTTAAAACTCGATGTCATGACCGCGAGTTTACAAACTCGAGTTCATGACCGCGAGTTTACAAACTCGAGTTCATGACCGCGAGTTTACAAACTCTCGTTCATGACCGCGAGTTTACAAACTCTCGTTCATGACCGCGAGTTTACAAACTCGAGTTCATGACCGCGAGTTTACAAACTCGAGTTCATGACCGCGAGTTTACAAACTCTCGTTCATGACCGCGAGTTTACAAACTCGAGTTCATGACCGCGAGTTTACAAACTCTCGGTTTTAAAAACTGTCGAATTTTGAGAATCTGAAAACTGTTCTGAATAGCCCTGAAGGTCGCGATCCCTCCCGTATCTGTTTCAAGTCAAAATCGTTTCTGCAGCAGTGTTAAAAGCATAAACTCGAGTTTTCAAGGAGAGTTTTTCTAAAATGAAAAATTGCAGAAAACGAAAAAGAAGATATGCTGTAGAATCGGTTTTGAGAGGCGATTCCAACAGTATAATTTTTACAGATTTTCGTTCACAGACAAGATTACAGGAGCAAAACTCTATATGAAGAAAAAGAGAAGAAAAGCAGAGCATTCTTCGTTAGATCCAAGAAAATCGCAGATACATTCAACCTGTTTCACGCCTCGGCTCTGATACCAATTGATAATCCCAGAATACTTAACAAACAACAAATATAAGCAGTAATAAAAGAAGCAGATAGAAAGAAATCGACAAGTTTATACCCAAATCTGGTATACCGTATGAAAACCCGCCGCTACTCTCCCTGGAGAAGGAGAGCAGCGGCAAACCTAAACTCTCTCTATCTTTACGCCTCTGAACTCTAAGCCTCTATCGATCGTTAGGGTTCCCGTAAGTTGGCCTCCTTTTATAGGAGAAGTTGACTAACTTACGGGTTACAAGGAAGCCCACGGGCTGATACACATTTGTGGCCCGTATTACACGATTAATTAAAAACTACACAAATACAAAGATAACTAACTAGATTGAACACCATAAAATATTCCCAACATAAGAGGAAAGAGAGGTCACAACTCACAAGCTGCATATGAGAGGGAGAAGCAATTGGAAAAGCTTAGGATCAAATTATGACTATGAATCACCTGTCCTAACTCCTAACGCATACTCTTGTTTCCATGTTTTTTACTTTTCTATAGCTGCGGATAGTTAGTAGGGAATACGGTTGCGGCGAGTCAAGGGGTGCGCAGAACAAGACATAAAAGACGAAGTCTTACTTACCTTATTAGGCCGGAGATGGTAGCCGGCGCCGGGCAGCGTAGATGGTAGCCGACAATCTCTTCCGTCTTCACCTCCTCTTCAGCCGTTCAGCACTTCGGCGTAGATGGTAGCCGATTGATATGTCCTTAGCTTGTGAAGTTTCCTAGCCTAATGGACTGGAGCAGTTGGGCCTCAATTTGACTTGGGCTTTTCAAAATTTATATAATAAAAATAATTATTTTTATAAATAATATATAAAATCGGTTCGGTTCGGTTCAACCGACTTTTAGAATATCAAAAACCGGTAGCGAACCGAGGTAGACTTCGGGTCCCAATTTTCGGGTCCCAATATTTTCAGTTCGGTTCAGTTCGATTTTTTTCTTTGGCGGTTCGGTTTTTTTCGGGTCGGTTTTTGGTTTTTCGGTTCA